CTGTCTCTCTCTCTCTCCTAATATCTCTTTTTCTCTCCCTCCCTTTTTCTCTCACAACTTCTCTCTCTCAATCTCTATTTTTCCCTCTCACTCACTCACTCTCTCATACAATGACTTTCTCTCTCTCTCATTCCCTCTCTCAATCTCTCTCTTCTCTATCACTGTCTCTCCCAATAACGCTGTTCTCTCTCTCATTCTCTCTCTCACTCTCTCTCTCATTCTCTCACTCACTCTCTCTCCCACTATCTCTTTTTCTCTCTCTTTCTCTCTCTCAATTTTCTCTCTTTCACTCTCTCTCTCCCACTATCTTTCTCTATCTCACTCTCTCTCCCACTATCTTTCTCTATCTCATTCTCTCTCCCACTATCTATCATTCAGTCGTTCTCTCCCACAATCTCTTCTCTCTCTCTCTCTCTCTCTCTCTCTCTCTCTCTCTCTCCTACTATCTCTCTCTAGTTTCAGCTTACATAAGATATGTCTAACCCTAACGCTAATCCGTATTTACGACTTGGGTGTTGTTGCTTTTATTTCGAAAGAGAAGTGCCAAATTTTGTTGTTTTCTTGGTTTCAAATCCAAATTTTATCATCCATGATATTTTTTGTTACTCACTCCATTAACATGATAATTAGACTGGAACTGACGCACACTGGTTTTTTTCACAACTAACCTATGTATAAAGAATAGTTGATTTTCATTGAGAAACTTTAGATTGAATGTTTATTTCTCTAAAAAGAGAAAATGAATTGGCCGATGGGAAGTACCTGGAATCTACTGCTTTCTCACGCCCAGGTGCAAAACATCACACCTGATTTCCCAGCACTATTATGACACTAAACCTTTGCCGATTTTAACCTGCTTATTTCCGCCAAATACAAAAGCTCTTACCAAATACGAATAATCATTTTATCAGAATTCAGCTCATGTGAAGATTTCAAAATGAAAACCAGGTGTTTTGTATAATCACAAATAATATTATGAATTTGATATTTTTCTCAGTCACAAACTCTTTAATTAAAATGAATTAAAAATTAATTACATCTTAATAATTTCAACTCAATAAATGTTGTATTCCTTTTTTAAAGGAAATTTCTTTATAAGAATGAATTTTATAACGCGCAATATGAATTATTGCAATTTTTCTATCCTTTCCTTAATATTATCAACCGATAATTGGCTTCTAAAAAGAGCCTATCTTAAAATGATTGCATTAAGCGACTTCCTTTTTGCATTAATATAGAAATGAGTTTTATAAATGGGAAATTAGAAAAACCAGTTGCGGTGAGTTTTTAAAACCCCTTCTTTATGGGAGAATGTCAAATTATTCAACAAACTTAGTAAATACAAAGATCTTGAAATTGAAAATTTAAAACATGTGCAATCTCAATACAACAATTGCAAACGTGATCTTTCTTTTAGGAATTACTACAAATATATGCAAGCGTATATCTCCCAACTACCCTGTGAGCAAAGCTTAGCCGAAATAGGAAACATTTTACAAATGAGAACTTTCAGCAAAATATTATTAATGTGATTTTTTTCTTGGATACTAACTAAATAAATAAATGATTAAATAAAGGGTGGGGAAATAGAAGAAAAAAAACAACAAGCATCTATTGAAGAAGTGCAAAAATTTAGGGAGAATATTTGGAGCAAAAAACAAAGGAATCTAATCTCAATGCAGAATGGATCAAACGGAAACAGGAAATAATGAAGGATAAACCTCTACAAGAATGGAAAAATATAACCAAGAATAATGCTAGGGAAGCTCAAACAAAATCCTCAAAATGGAAATCCCCAGGAAATGAAAAGGTACCCAACTTTTGGCTCTATCATATGTCAACAATCCATAAAACCTTTGCACAAACTCTATCAATGCTTATTAATAATCCGTATGAAGTCCCAGAATGGATCACTGAAGATATTACATATCTCCTACCAAAAACGGATGAAACAGATGATCCTCAAAATTATAGGCCAATAACATATCTGTTCACCACGTTTAAACTGATCACGTCTTTCCTGATTTTAAGATATCGTAACATTGAAAATCTTTTTATTTCATTTTATCCCTTTCTCAGATTCTTGTTTTTATTCCGTTTTGACAACTCTTAAGCCAGACATATTGCTATCAATTGTAACATACCAACTTGCTGTCTCTTGAGATTCTCAGTGAGATTTGCGGGCAGCACGTATAGTAAACAAGCAGATTTCAAACAAAATGAAATAATGATGAAAAAGACTTGCACAGGAACTTTTAAACACATGAAACGCAAGACTAAGTGCTAGCAGACCCGGAAGCATGAAGGTGGCTTAGGAACTGTTTCTTAAAGAAGAAGACCAAAATGACAGTCTGTGATGCGAAAGGAGCAAGATTTAATAAGAAATTCCATCAAGAAAAACAGCCGATTTGTAATCATGCAGGCTTCGTAGGGAAGCAATTGAAAGTGTGCAACACATTTTCAAAAGCTGCATTCAGCTGGCACTAGAACAGTACAGACGGCGCCATGACAAAATAACCCTCAGAATACATTGGCAACTATGCAGGAAATATGGCTCCGGTTGAGCAGAGAAGTGGTACGAGTATTCACCGTGGTCAGTAGCCGAGAAACAGCAAATGTGGGATACGACCATCTTGACTGACAAGCGCTTGGAGAGAAATCGCCCTGACATGACACTTGTGCATAAAAGTAGACATGAATGGATCCTGATCTACGTTGTGCTGTCTTGGAATTAGAACATCGTCAAAGCGGAACAGGCGAAAATACAGAGAGAACAAAACCTGGCGAGGTAAATTGGTAAAAGCGAAATGTACCAGGCAGTCTGAAATTGTTCCTTTTGTGATTTGGCGCACTAATTTGAAGAATCTCTCTGCTTCACAAGGTCACCTAAAGATACCTGGTATCATATGAAGTGCACAGATGGCAGCACTGTTTGGAAAAACCCATGTGCTGGGGACAAATGTTGTATCTCTAACCTGCGGATAGGAATGTCTGAGGCTATAAGATAGCTCTTAGATGTTTACATGAAATAAGCTTTATCAATTATCGACATTACTCTATCCTTACTTTGCAATCTTGTTCCAAATAAAGCAGAACTTGGGAAATACCGACAAAAGCTCTTACCACATACGAAAATAGAATGATATTAAAATACCAGTGCTAGTTCGTTCGATCCTCAGGTTAGGGTTAGGGTTAAGTTAACCTAGGCTTTGTAAATAGTTACAATTATATAAGATGTGTAGCTGATTTTAGAGCGACGGACAAAACCCAGTGCCAGTGAGTTAAATCCTTAATGAATCTAAGCTAAGACTTTCCAGAATTTGTAAATATAAAAAATTCTATCAATTAGGTTGCTGGTGATGTGCGATTTTATTTACCTCCGCCCTACGAAGGTAATATTTCTATCCTGCGCTTGTATTGCGGTGCTTCTAGAAATTGTCCAGCATCGTTGAAACTTCCCGTTTTTTAACTTCTCACACATCAAGGATTGACTTTGACTTCTTTTTCTTCTGTGTAGACTCGCCTTCATGGTTAGCCGCCCCCCCCCCGCCTATGGCTGGACTTTGGTTAATTTGTGCTCCAGCTCCCTTAAAGAAGGCATAAATTGATGGTGAAGTCCAGTGCTAGTACTCCCAATACAGACTGTACTCTCCAATTTTCTGCCTTGTGTCAGACTAAACTCTGGTTCACCAGTATTTTCAGTTATATTACCTGTGTAAGATGGACATTGTTGGCTATTGTCCAAGTGAATGACCTTGAATGACATTGGGAACAATTGAAATTCGAACTAGTTCCTTGTATTTTGCTTTCAAAGTTCGCTATCAACAAAAGTTATAATACTCTATCCTACACAGGAATAAAGGGTGCTTTATCTATTGTCAGTCTTGATAAATGGAAACACTGATTTATATTACTGATATTTCTTTAGTCTGTTGTGATCGTTGTAGAAGTTGTTTATTTCGCATTGTTGCTCGTGATCATATTTTAAAGGCTAATTTCCACGACAGACAGCCCTCCCACCTCGTTTGGATGACTGGTGCATCACAATCTTTGTAGTCCCAGTTTGGTATTGTGCTTTATTAGAGTAAATATATTAGATCGTCTTGTCCTGAAGCAAAGCTTAGCAAACTACTCCCGCAGGTCAAGTGGGATAACAATGAATTCGTTCCACATGGTGTGCCCCGTATTGGTAGTCTTGTACTTCACTAGAACAAGCCTCGTTAATATTTGTTTTATTAAAATATGTAATGTACTCAATGTACCCAATGTTCTTTTGCTCACTTATCAAAACACTAAATGGAAATTTTTTAGAGTCCGGCAAATTATTTTATGCAACATTTTCATCATCAAAGTTCCGATCATCATTCCGAGCATGTTTTTTTTTCTTTTGGCTAGTAGGGCCCCATGCGAGTAGTCTCTGCACCAAAGGAATCTCTCAGTCAGATCTTTTGATGCTTGTTCATTGTGTCGCTGCTTTATATAGAGGCGCCTCGTTAATATGTATGCTGTCCTCGTTATGACTTCACTTTGTAGTTCAGTCAGTGGATATTTCAAGTGGATACCATGAACTAAAATCCCCACTGGAATTGCTTTTGTTGGCGAGAAAGATTTCTGTTTGGCCAAACTCTCAACCATTTGCCTTTCATATGTTTAAGCTTAGAATTTTTTATTTAATATTCATTATTTTCTGACTCTCTCCAGTATGGTTTTGGTAACTTTAAAAAATATATTTTTACTCCCAGGGATTTTTTTCTAAGATTCACATGTTGATATAAGGGGCATCATTTGCTTTCTTCTCCAACAAGAGGTATTCTTATTATTTACATTATTCGGACTATTGTCCTCATCTTTGTCGCCATATCTTTCGCTCACTGGGGTAGACTGTTCTAGTTCCACGTGCCATGTTTAATGGATGTCAGTTATCAGTTATCTCCTGTTAATTCCCCTCTCCAAGATCTCCACTGCCTTAATCGAGTATTGAACTCACACTCCATGATCCATATGTCTCCTGTGCCGACCAAGCATAGAAATGAATACAATATGGGAACAAGTAATAAGGAGTGCGAGAGAAAAGCGATAATAACGACAAAAATTGCAATATGAGCCCTGGTAAAAAACGGTTGCTGAAGACATTAGTTTTATAACACCCAGAAATTCATACACAGATGTTCTCAAGGACACATGACACAGTGAATAAAGGTGTTAGTTAGATCCAATGACAGGACCCAAAGAGTGTGAGTTCAATACCCGATTAAGGCAGTGGAGAACTTTCAGAGGGAAATTAACAGGAGATAAGTGATAACTGACATCCATCAAACATGGCACGTGGAACTAGAACAGTCTACCCCAGTGAGCGAAATAAAGAGTTCAGTTCAACATTCTAACCACCTGAAGAAGGCTGGAGCGTACAACGGCCGAAACGTTGTAATAAATATGGCAATAAAGATGAGGACAATAATTTAAATAATGTACATAATACCTCATCTCAGAAGTATAGGCAGAAACAGGTATTCTCTTCTGTTTTTCTTCGTTCCAAAAATATTTGGTGACCATAGCCGAGACTATTAAATCAGCTGAGCATAAATCTTATGTGATCTCGTCAATAATCTCGTAGACATAACTATAGTCGAATGGTCCCATTTTCACTGATCTTTTTAAACTAGACTTCGTGACTATTTCTAATGCATCAATGGTTATCGGTATGACATTTATTCTAATATTTCTCAAATTTTCTGCTCTAAAGCAACATCTTGAAAACAATTTTCTTTCATTTTTACCGTGTAGTCTACCGAAAACCTAACATTCACTATTTTACAGATTTCTTTTCCCAGTTTTACAACAAATAACTCAGAATTCTAACTCAAGTAAAATGCGTCCATTGAATTTTATAATCTAATTTCCTAATTTTGTATTTATATTCAAGGAGAATCGTTAACAGCAGACATTTCATCTGAACATTTTAATGTATATTGTTCAATAGATGTTATTAACATTCACCACTGAATTAAGTGCATTGACAAAGAAGATTATGCTCAAAAATAAATGTTTGATAAAATAGTTTTTCTTCGTTAGTTTGGATTTATTGATATTAGTAATTATTAATTAGGAGATAAGACAAAGAAAGAGATTATGTTGAAAAATATTTTTTATTGAGAATAAATACACCTTTCATCATCTTGCTACAAACTTCCTACATATTTACAACAGAATGAAGTGCATTGACAAAAGAGGTTATGTTGTAAAATCAATAATTTTTGTGTAAGATAAATGCTTTCTTGTCATTAGATTGAGGATAAATTGAGGTACCTACATATTTTTCTCAAAATTAAGTGCACTGTCAAAGGAGGTCATGTTGAAAAATCAATATTCGTTGTGTAAAATAAATACATTTTAAACTGAGATTTCTTGTACCAACGTATGGTTTTATACTTATAATTTTGGAAAATGCCATGGAAACATTTAGAATTCATTCTCGAAATATAAAAAGAATTCAAATTATCCAACATTCATAGGAATATGTAAATCCAAATAATAAGTGATGTTTTAACAGTGTAATAGCTGAATGTGTGTGTGAGTGTGTTGTATATTAGAATTATCAAACTATGTAGGATAAAGATATTTTTGAATCATGTGTTTTTACACGACAGCTATACTACAAAAGCAAAACTCGGTTCCTTAACACTTAGAAAACATCAAAATCAAGCGCGGGCGCTACTTTCACATTGGCGCCATTGAAATCATAATTCCACACAAGGAAACCATTTTCTCGCCTATGACATCACAAGTCGGAAATTCGTCTAAGTAGAGGGAATTACTGCCCCTCATTATGTATCTTATCTCTTTTTATCTCTTTTTATAAAGAATGGTTAATAACCACTCAGTCTCCTTTGTGCTCATTACACTATCCAGTGGTCAGTAATGGCGTCGTCTTACAGTGAATGGCAGATTTCACTCTCTCATGTTTTTTTCTTTCATTTGCTTCAAATGCTATATGTACAGTGTATACGATAGTGTCAGTTATAAAAAAGTATCCATGTTGCTTCTAAAATCCATTATCTCCAAACTTTCTCCCTCTTACACGCACGTTTCATTTGTTGTGTGTGTGTGTGTGTGTGTGTGTGTGTGTGTGTGTGTGTGTGTGTGTGTGTGTGTGATTTATGGCATTTCTAGATTCATTTTTGAACGGATTCATGCTTTTTTGATAAAATCGTAAAATGAATGTTGTCCTGAACGGCCGCTTTTTTAGATCTTTTTGTACTAATGCAGCTGTCCGCCAGGGCTCTTCTATCCTCGGACCTACTTTGCTCTTAATTTCCATCAATGACCTTCTTGAATCAGTTCTCAGCTTCCTATCTCTGCTGATGACACAACCATTTACTCTTGTCTCGATATTAAGTCTTATTAGTTCGATAAGATCAAATTGGATGCTGATCTAAAAAAAAAAATGTCCTAAAATTAGTTGTTAATTGGGGAAAGGAATGTTTCATTAATTTTAAAGCC